GAGATTTTGTGGTGATGTTCGAGTACGTTCTCGTCGGGTGAGATTCGCCGGACTTCTTCCCACTCGAGGGTTTTTTGGTAAACTTCCCAGGCTAAGTCCTGCTCTTCTTTCGACAGTTTCTCGTCTTCATTCTCTTGCAGTAATGTCTCGTGCTCGTGGTAATTTGCAATCCAGCTGCAAGATAAAAAAAATGGGGTGCCCATTAGCATTAGTTCGTGATTAATCATTGAAATTGATTACTCTAGAATTTTTTGTAATAAGTTCAGTGTCTTTGATTATGGGGATAATACCCAGAAAAGGATAAAAAAAAAATAGAAGGGAAGTTGCTTCTTTTTGTTCTCTACTTGGTTTACAAAATTTAGTCCTCTGAATTGCGGCTTATAAGGCTTTGTTTGATATCTTTTTAAGATTCAGAAACTAGTACGGTTTTGACTGGAAATGATTGCTAGGCCAGCTGACAGCTACTGAGAAGAGAAACTTGGGGCTTTCAGTACTTCAACACAATAATGACAACTCAAAACATCAAAATTGGCAAGTAGAAAATGCAGCTTCTGATGAGCCTACGTGACAATAATTTACCCAAATCAATAAAAATACTCGTATTTTTTTCTGTTTGTTGGTTTTCTTTGGTATCAGCACCACATCAGTCATGGCCGTCGGTTCCAAAGGTTTCAGTCAATATTAGTTGCTGATATTATATAATTCCAGTCAAGCTGGACTAAATATTTAAACAGATTTTGAATCAAAAACAAAAAGTAAGATACTCATAGGACAAAATCTCCAAATGGTCCAAAAGTTGCAAACCGGAACATTAGTTTACTTCAGAAAAAGACTAACCCTGGGATTCAGTTTGCATATGAAAGTTATTATTTGTTACATTACAATTAATGAATGACAGAATGAGGTAGTATTCATATCGAATGTAGGTTTTTTACATTAGGAGGGAATTCATAAAGCGTAAGCCAGCCAAAGAGGTGGCTAAAATTTTGGAAGGTAACTTGAGATTACTTGTAATTAAGGCAATTTCAAGGCAGTGAACGTGTAATTACGCCTACACTATATTTACCAACATAAAAGAATCATGTACTGGACCAAATTCCTAGTTAAGCAGTATGCAGAGAGAAAAAGAGAGAGAGAGAGAGAGAGAGTAATAATCACCCACCTGGGATGATGTCTGCTAATCAAATTTTTGATCAAAATGTCCGAAGATGCACTTCCATTTGGAAGTGATGTTTTCTGCTTCAATAAGTTCCCAACATGACCAATGGTGTTTGGTTCAGAAGCAGCTCCAATATCTTGTGCCAGCTCAGACATGATGTCGACATTTTCATCATCCCCAAATTCAAACAGATGTAATATCTCTTCTTTTGACATTGTTCTGTGTACCTGCTGTCTGTCAACTACTCTTGCTGCGAGGCCTTCCTTAGTGACCTGTTGTATTACATATATGGAATGTTCATAATAATAAATTGGAAAATATGTACAGAATAGCTAAATTTACCATTTTTTTCAAAATACAATTAAGTTCACTTCCAAAATCACGAATACCTTCTAAAGGATTTATAAAACAAATTCACCCCGAAAAAGGTGCAATTCATAAAATGGAAATAACTTTCAAGGGTGTGCTTGCAATTTTAAATATAACTGCATGTAGTAGTAGTAGTAGTAACTTTCATAATAATAAATTGGAAAATAATTGAAGAATAACTTAAATTTACCAATTTTTTAAAAAACAATTAAGTTCTCTTCCAAAATCAAGAATACCTTCTAAAGGACTAGTACAAAAATTCAACCCGAATATAGGTGCATTTATAAAATGGAAATAAATTTCAAGGGTGCGCTTGCAATTTTAAAACTTACTGCATGTAGTAGAAGCACTGAGGGAGCTACATGGGGCCCAGGGGGTCCCTGGGCCCCCCTCATTTTCTAAAAAAAAAAAAATTAGTATATATATATATATATATATATATAAATACTATAAAATAAATATATTAATAATTAAAGTTTATTAAAAATCAATATATATAAATAAAATAGCATAAAATATGCATTGCAATGTAAAAAATATTTACAATATATTACTAATTAAAACTTATTTCTTACTAATTAAAACTTATTTCGTATGTTATTTGTATTTAAATTAATAATATTATTTATTTATTGAAAAATATGCTAACAACTCTTATATTTTAAATTTTAGATAAGCTTTCGAAAATATTTATAATGATTTACTCTTTTGGTCTCTTAATAGTAAATCGATTTAGGAATTTATAAAACCGATTATTTATTAGTTGGATTGTCACATTTTTTAACGTTGATTTTTTACTTTTTTTTTTGTGTGTGTGTAATAACATATTTTAACCTCATTTATTTTTTCTTAAAAATATGTACATTTGATAAGCTTTCATGAAAAAGAAAATGCTATAGAATGTTGTGTAAAAGTTCAAATTTGAATCAAATTTTCAACCAAAAAACTTATATTTCCATAAATTATAGGTATTGAACTTAAATTATAAATACATAAAGTAAAAATTTGAAGGTGTACAACTTCTAAGTTTTTAATGGTACACGTACCAATATTTATATTTATTTATTGTAAATACATTGTCATGTGAAATGAGTGTTTCTACTTAAACTACAAGCTCGTTATTTAACATTTAAAATCGGGCCCCCCTCGTAAAAATTTCTAGATCCGTCACTGAGTAGAAGTACCTCAATATTTGGTGATACCTCAATAACGGTGTTCGTAACTATCCTGTATATATTTAACCACACCTACCTGTCGTTTATAAATTTTTTCTTCCATTGTAGCGTGTGCGAGCAACCGGTATGCGAAAACAGGCTTCGTTTGGCCATACCTACAATCACGACCATCCAAATTTTCACAATATGCAAACTCAGTAAGCACAAATTTAACTAAAGAGAACATGCCATTCTCACCTCCAGACCCTATAGATAGCCTGAAGATCGTACGTCGGATTCCAAGATCCATCGACAATAATTACTCGGTTAGCTGCATGAAGATTAATACCCAAGGATCCAGCTCTAGTTGATATTAAAGTGCATTTGACTCTTCTATTTGAAGGATCGTTGAACTTTTCAACAATTTTCTGTCTCTCCAAACTTTCCGTCCTGCCATCTAACCTGTTCGGGGTGAAGAAGGAAACAAGACGCACTGAAAAACATTTTAACTGATGCATCGACGAACAGAAAGAGCATACTGGAAAGCAAGGAACAATAATCCGATATTTATTCATTTTTTAGACTTTCTTCTCATATACATCTGTCCCGACTAGGGCTGCAAACGAGCCGAGCGGCTCGCGAGCGCTTGAGTCAAAGCTCGACTCGAGCTCGAGTTTGACAGAACTCGAGTCGAGGTCAAGCGGCTCGAGCACGAACTCGAGTCGAGGTCGAGCCCATATTTTGCATTGTCGAGCGGCTCGTCGAGAGGCTCGAGATACATGTTAAATTACTAGAATACCCCTTATATATATTAGCATAGGTGCTTAATGGTAATTTTACTTTTCCACTTAAAAATTTTCGAGCCGAGCTCGGGCATTTTGATTTCGCGAGCTCCAGCTATTGTGAATTTTTATCAAGTCGAGCTCGAGCAGCTAAAAAAAAAAATCAATCCTGCTCGATAAGGCCAATGCTCGACTCGACTTAGCTCGTTTGCAGCCCTAGTCCCGTCACAAAGCGAAAGGACTGTGGCCTGTGGGTATATCACTATTCACTACATGTATTTTTATCTCCCAAGATAGCTATAAATTGTTTTGAACTTTTATAGTAATTTATGAAATGTCTTGGAGAATTACAGTCGCAATCTAGAAAGATGAGAGGACAGAAAGGAAAAGGGAGAACACGTGGTCCAAAGACCAAAATGCAGTAGCAATTTAGGGAAAAATTATAATGATATAATTTGAAAAACCAGCATGCTGCTCTATTTAGAAAAGACACCAAAAACGATTATTTTATCTGTATTTATGATGACTCAATAATGATATAAAGACAGATGACAACGTTATTATATCATTGATCACTTCAGCTTTTACACTAATGTTAAGGTGAGTAGGAACTAGGAAAATAAAATAGAACTCAAATTAATGTACCAGTTTGAACTTCAATAAATTGCCACTATACCAACCTGTACCAATCCTTCCCCTTTCTCCAAAATTTTCCAGTTTTCTTCGAACGAGGAAATTTTGAAAGGTAACGTTCGATCAAGTCCAATGTTAGTATGCTCTGACTGAACACCAATGCCTTGTCACCCATACTCGAGCACATTTTGAGGATATCAAGCAGCAAAACCATCTTTCCACCTTGATCGGCCTCCTTATAAGTACCTTCAATAAGAAGATCCCTCCACCAATCCTGTAATATTTGATGCCTCAAAAAACTGGTTAAAAATAAAGTCAAGAAAACATACAGGAAAAATGGAATGCGTTAGTTCAAGCATTAAGAATACATGCCCGTAGTAAAAAGAGTGCTCAGAAAGAATTGAAAATTCATGGACTGTAAGATTATCATATCAAGAAACTGAACGAGTATCTTGCTTCAGAGAAGGACGTTCACACGCACCTCACGAAGAAATCCATTATCATTTTTCCGGGGTGGATTTATCAGCTTCTCTGCAAGCAACACAGGTAGAGTCAATTGAATACAGTGAATAATTGAATTTGAAACCATAAGTACAAGAATATAAAGGAATGGGCGTGTGAAGTGAGGGCATTTGGATATAAAAATTCTATGGAAATCCTGGACAAGGGAAATAGAAAGGCAGGGCAAAAAATTGGATGACAAATGAAACATTTTTTAGAATGTAATCATTAAAGTTGATACAATATTAAATAGTAAAATGATTGGTAGCTATAAATGTGATGGGTGAATAGTGCTTTTTGTTGGGAAATGTGCATCAATGGTTGATTTTTATTTTTAATTGTGTTGAGATTGAGAGAGAAGCGAGATGAAAAGAATAGTGTGATTTTTTAAATGAGTTGTATCCAATCAAAATCTAAACGGAAAAAGAAAATTCCGTCCATACAAAATTGAAAATTTTCTATATCCAATCGCCACTGAAGGATACATCATTCTCACAGCAGAATACTTTCCGAAACTGCTCAAGACACTTCAGAGAAATGGCTAATAACTTTTCCAGTTTTGCTATAGATCAAATTTGCCATAGATGACGAATTAAGACATAAACACTGACAAATGACTTCCAAGAGGACTATGGCGCATCTTACCTCCAGAGATCACATTGTAGTCAACAATTTCATCGTTTGAGCTGTCATATGCTTCTACATCTTCACATTTTGCAGAGTCTTTGTTTTCTTTCCTCAGTTGCAAAATTCCAGGATGATTCCATATCTACACAGGAACCCGTAATATATTTGGACTCATAAGAACAATAACTCCAATAAATTGAACTCCTCAAGAGAGATAATAAACCATGATGGTATTTGCAACACATCGAAATATATGATATACATATTGAAATACAAGCCACCAGTTGCAAACTTAACGTCCAAGTCAAGGATTTATGAAAAGTACAAAACTGAACTATATTTAATCAAATTGAAAAAGAAACAACTTTTAACAGGCCAAGCATGTTCCGAGCCCAAGCGCAGAATCATGAAGAAATTTCTCTCCCAAGCCTAAAGCTGACAATCTCAATGCAACCAAGATAACTTAGATAACAACCGATGATCTACTTATATAGATTCGTAGCCCCATAAATAATCATAATGGGTTTGTATCCATACGTGCCCAAAGCCCAACTAATTATCAAACAACATAAGAGCCATTCTAATTGCGTGTAACAACGCTCAGGCCGTTTAAAAACAACCTTGTCCTCAAAGCTGAAGATTACTTCAAAAGACATCCCGAATCTTAACTGCACCAACTCTTTCTCATGAAGCAGTTGCAACAACTCTTCAAGTCGATCTAGTTTTGCCATCATAAGGTCTAAACAATAAGTTGCCGATAATGAGACAACACCCTTCTCTATAGTCTTATCCATTGGACTCGCAAATGGCAGGTCGGACCAGTTGATTGAGTCAAGGGTTTACGAAAAGAACAAAACTGAAATATGTTTAATTAAAGTGAAAAAAAAAATCATTTTAACAAGCAAAGCCTGTCCTAAGCACTGAACCAGAAAGAAACTTTCCACCCAATCCTATTGCTGACAATCTCAGTTCAACCAAAGATAAACCTAGTGACAACTGATACTCTACTCATATAGATCCATAAACCTTATTATAACCCAAATGGGTATTCTAACCCTGCAAGCCCAAACCGCAAGTAACTATTAAATAAAATAAGATCTGATCATCTACTTGATGCTTAACAAATTGGAAGTAAATTAGTAGTAAAGACAATCTGCATTTGACAGGGTGAAGTTAGCTACCACGTCTCAACGACTGACAAGGTTCAGCCAAAAGCCGACTCAAGGGATTATGTTATTTTTCATTAATATAACAGCATACAAAACCAAACTCAACAATAAGGAAGATATTAGATGTTTTCCAGGAAAATAATACTTCAACTCATACAGTTTCAACTACATTCCCATAAAAGCCAATTCTGATGGTTGCCTCATTCCAGAAAGGAAAACAATACGGTAATTTTGTTTTAGTTACAAACAATATTACATACCTGTGCCAATGCCTGGTACCCTGCGAAAAAAGATCTTTTAATAATCTTTTCACCAGATATCTTGTCCTTTGTGAAACCATGAACGTCAAGAAATCTCTTATAGAGTTTTCTCTGTAATGGGGATAGCTTCACAGTGATAACAAACACAGTTTTGGGAGGTAAATCCTTTTTAACCACATTCATGTCCATCCTTTGAACAAATCCTTTTAATTGTTCGTACAGAATATGAGATCTTTGATTCATTATTTTCACATCTTCTGCAGTAGAATTGGCATGTTGACCATTTTCTATTGGATTCTGGAAACTGCAGCACAGCAAAAGGGTTATTAGGCAAAACGGAATTAATGCTTAGCATAATTCATTAGAAGAATGAAAGCTCGAAATTCCTACCGGTTCCTAAACTCATGGCTGCTACCAAGAAATCCTTCTCTAACAAAATCAACCATCTGTAAGAGATTAAATTCAGTACACATCACATAGTGGGTTACAAAATACATTATATCCAAAAAAAGCATTTAGATTCATACACAATAGTATTCCATCAGATTGTTCTGAAGAGGTGATCCAGTTAGTGCAATCCTTCTCTGGCACTTCACTAGTTTCAAAGCCTGGGTTGTATCAGCCCTGGTGTTTTTGATAATGTGTGCCTCATCACACACTAGGATATCCGGTCCCTCCTGCAACAAATAAACATTGTCACTATTAGAGCGAAAAAGAACACAATTATCCGTGCTGAATGAGGTGAAACTCTCTCATAGCAACATGAATCCAGTAAAGCAGGCAAGAACAAAAGGCAACAGGAGAAAGATACTCTTTCATTTCCCCTAGTGAAATGTAAGAGGACACTACAATTTAACAAACCCACCTATAAATCCAGTTATTCACAATAAAGGAAATCAAAAGGACAAAAATATTGTCACACAAATTTGGATAATACAACTTGTTTTGGTATACACTTTCTCTAGCAGATTCATTTTCAAAAAAGAGACAATCACCTGAAGTAAATGACTAATTTCCCGAGCCATGTCTCTGTCCTTAACATACTTTCCTAGGGACAAATTCCGGAAGGCGCTATATCCAATTAAGAAGACACCACCTTTAATTCTCCACTTCATCAGTAACGCAACCCTTTTCTCCCTGAAAAACGATTCTGTAGGTATTATATCAAGGAAAACTAGTGAAAGGACTTGTATAATGGATTACATTAGCGGTAGACTCGAATCAATAACATATTGGTTGAGATAATTAAGCAAACAAACAAAAATGTCAAACCTTGGAACATCTTCGAGCATGTAGATACGAAGAGCCTTTAGCTCAGATGGTCTCCATTTCATAAACTCGTGTCGCCAATTGTGTAGAACACTCACTGGAGTCACAATGAGTGCAGTTCTTAAACCTAGGTCCGCACCTCTCATAGCAGTGTAAAGAAAAGCAATGACCTGTATTTTTATTTGAATTGAAGTGATTACAAAGATCAATATTTCTGACATATTCTGATAAAGACTGATACAACGCATAAATCATGGGTATTGGGTTGGATTTTCAAGAAGAATGACTAACCTCGCAACTATGGGGGAGGAAAAAAAAAAAAAATTGATACTAACCAGAATTTTAGATGCAAGATTTCAAGCTGTTTATTTCATGATTATATTATATATTTTACATTCTACAATTGTAATAATGGATTAATAGGATGCTAACTGGTAGAGGCTAGGTAGGGTGGGCAATGATACTATTGTAAAAGTTTTGCTGTTGGGCAAGTTCACCCTCTTGGCAGAAAAATTCTGCTGAGAACTGTTCATCGCTTCTGTTTAGATGTCTTTAACAATAAACCTTTGTATTTCACCATCAACATTTTCATTGAAAACATTCTTATTAACTAAACATGAACATCTGAAAAAGATGTTACAAACTCCAGAATTGATAGAGTTCGTAGGCAATTATTGCTTCTGCCTCATTGAACAGAAAGAGAATCAGGAATAAAACTGCATTGGAGATCAGAAAGAGTATTTTTAGGTGTCTACCGTAAGCTTGTTTTATAATCCATAGAGAATCAGTACATCAAATGGGCTTCTGATTCATTGCAAAGCTGACTTGAGATATAAGATTTAACACTTGCAGAGAATATAAGAAAAAGATAACAAGGAGTAAGCATAAAGAAAAAGAAAGTAAAATTGGAATTTCACATGGTATAATTTGACCTAAATAAGTTACTGTTTAATTAAAATCCGTACAAGTCTAGTTTCCAAAGTATAGTACAAATAATGGCATAGACTTCTGAATGATCAGAAAATAACAGATGTTTGAACAGACTGAACTCTATATCTTTAGGAAACATGTAAAAACTAGAAAATACAAATTAGAGAACATTCAGCAAAGACCTGCCAGATTCTCCAGTAAAAAATATCAACCTTATTTTGTTAATTGAAAAGACCTGTGATCCACCTCAACAAAACTTTCGTCCCGATAATTTCATTCAACTGGATAACTACATAGTTGGTCATATCAACGAAACGGAAAAGGCAGTTTCGCCAAGTCTCATTAAGAAGTGCTACCTGAAAAGTTTTACCCAATCCCATAGTATGAGCGAGAATGCAACCAAGCCCTTTATCACCAGACTTCACTTTCCGGACAGATTGGATAATATTTTCCCACATAAACCGAATCCCTTGAATCTGAGGTATACAAGATAATAGGCTTACAAACTAAGTTCATGAGTAATAATAACCAAATGAAAGTCAAAGAACACAAACAAAACAGAGAACATATTCAACAAAAGTAGGTCAGCAGAAGTGAAAGGAATACAGATGCATGATAAGTTTATTAGTTATTACTTTACCTTATATTTTAGTAACATCCATCAATCAACTAAATCGTAATCTGAGGTAATATTAACTTATTAGCGGACAATTAAACATGCATGCAAATATGCATTCTATTAGCAGAACAACAGACTTAGTGCTCCCCAATTATTAAAGGCAAACTTAAACACACCATTAATGCATATATCAAGTAACTTACTGCAGATTCTATAACTAAAACGTGGTCACAAGCACAAATTATCTACTTATATGGAAAAGATAAAGAAAAATATATGCAGTAGCGCAGCTTAAATTGTACAACTGTTTTAATGATAAGGATAAATTCTTCAAGTTTTATGCGTGGATCAAGTAACTTACTGCAGATTCATCAAAACATAGTCAGGAGCACCAACTTATCCAATTCTAAAAGAACTCTAAAGTCCAATTTCAAAGGCCAAATATGCAGTAAATGCAATGATAAAAGAATAAGGTAATATTGGGCATGCCTGATGGAGTTTTAATTTCATCGAGATGCTCGGTGGGATTTTTATTGGATCTTCACCTTCCTCTCTCACCACATTAATTATGTACCCTGCAGAAACATCACCAAGCATTTCTACACCAGTGCCATCAAATGAACTCCGATTGCTGACTGCGGACCTCATAGCAACAGACTTGGTTGAAAACCGTGCTTCCAAAGATTTCAGCCGCTCCTGACGTTCCTGTAGCATAGGCATGTTAAACAACTGGAAGTATATATACAATGAAGGAGGTGAGTTTACCTTTTCGATTGCAATTTTCTTCTTAGTCTCTTCCCCCAATTCAGCATCATCAAGGATCCTTCGGATTTTCTTTTTACGTCTCTTCCTAGTGCTGAATCATAAGGAAGATACAATCAAATTTAACTGTGATAGATCAGACAGAAATCCCCGTTCCAGGAACAGGGATAGTCCACTGAGATTAATAGAGGCAAGAATCAAATAATTAGATGAAGTGAACCGTTCCAGGAACAGGATAGTCCATTGAGATTGATAGAGCAAGAATCAAATAATTAGATGAAAAGGGGATTACACTGGGCAGATTTTTCATTTTTTAAACAAACCTTTCCAATCGAATAAAACAATAGGGAGAATTGAAATGTCTTCTTGCCTTCTATGAGCCAATGAGTTTAATTGTGAAACTAGTGTACCTTGTGTTGACATTGATATTAGCATCGGAATCATCTGAATCAGAATCTGAACTAGAAGAGACCACTTGAAATTCTGCCTTGGGAACTTCTTCCATATTTGACGATCCATTTCCAGCCAGTGAAGTTTCATCATCACTGTGTACAGTAATTGTACAAAATTCTTTATCGCCCAATTCATTCTGTTCGCTGGAACGCTTGACACCCCTTGGCTCAACGATATCCAGGGGAGTCGGATCATCACTCAAAAAGGCATTAGTGCCACTCATAACTTTCTCTCCACGAACCCCACCAGAGAAAGCATCCAAATTATTAATTACTTCTTGATCTCCAAAATCATTTTCAACAGATTCATGAACTGAGGAAAGTTCGCCCTTACTAGCATCCTGATAAAAAAAGAACCATTAAACCACGCAAATAATGCTGATTTGGAAAACTAAAAAGTAAAAATAAAAGGTATTATAACCTAAGGTATAAAAAGTATGAAACTGTGAGGAATCTTTGTGAGAAACCAGTACAACTTTATGTCTGTCATAAGAAACATGAGTTGACACACTAATATGGACCGTACAGAACCAAGACACACAATCTACACGATCATTCTATGACTCATGCACCAACTATAATCAAATAATAAGTGGTACGAATAAATGAATTTCAATACCAAAAAAATCTTTGTTTTCATGTCCGCATATTTACAAAAAAACTGATCCACAGGCAGATTATGCGTCTGAGGGTTACGCATAAGTTAGGTTTAAAAACAGGACATTTCCATATCCTACTTTCTTCTTTTCATGCTTACCATTCTACTTCATATGAGTCGTACAAATTATAGAAGAAAACAGATCAAGTCAAACAAGAGATCTATTTTCTTCTTTGGGTGATCATACTTGATCCAAGGCTAGCACCCTGATCCACTAATAACACTTGTACGACTAAAGATCCTTAAGCAAACAGTACATCACATCAGTACAAACACTTGTATGTACAATTGCAGATAACTTCCGCACTCAGAAGCACACTTTTCCTTTTAATTTCTAGGTGCAGCGCATTACAATAATGTGCAATTCCAGTTACCAGAGAATACTTAAATTGAGTGAACGGGTTTGATAGGATGAGAGGCAAAGACAGATGGAACGAATAATATTGGAGCAATTATCAATTCCAATCGGTCAGACTAGCATCTTGTTCAAGATGACCGTGGCCATAAATACCATCCGCTACCTAATATAACCACAGGATTGTCTGATTTTAGAATATAAATCTGAGGCCCACATAAGAATAGGACGTGCAGATGAGAAGCGGAAAAAGAAAATGGAAAGAACGGACGCAAAGAAAAGAATCCAAGTGATATTCAGCAGACAGTTAGCACTGACTACTAAACGATCCAAATAAAAATGTTTCAAAATCAGCATCTATTAACAATATTTACCCCTGGATTTCATACTTTAAAAGGCCTATCACATGAATTCGAACGGCAAAGACGACAATTTCTTCAAACTGATGCTGTAAAAGATTTGTTAATCAAATTTTATTAATTATGGGGGAAGCCGACATTAGATCTAATTGGCGTTCATTCACAGAGTCAAAACTAGAAAGTATATGCCTAGGAGATCCACAATTATGATGATCCAGAAAGTCAAGTTTAACGCACTAGATAGATCTTCCTCTTTTGATACCAATATTTTGCATTCTGATTTTCACAGAGTTGCATGCACACACACAGACAGTTAGATGTTGTATGTAAATCGATCATTCCTCTCAAATGTGCAATTGGTCACATCTTCCAAACCAGATAATGAAATAGCAAACAATATGGAACTGGCCTCAAAAAGAACTTCAAAGTTTTCATACTAGATACTCAGATGGAGCCTTGATTCTATGGAGGATAATGTTCAAACATAAATTTAAACTGGGACGTTTGAATTTCACAAACTAATCAGATTTTAATCTACAACTACATCAAATTCAAGCGATTTTAGAACAATGATATATATATATAGTATATATATATATAACCTTGTATATGTTAACCTTATCCAATTCTAGAGTTAAGTAGGCTATTGAAAACTTATCTTAATTATATCACCAATAGCATGACCAAGCACTCAATGTCTTGCTATAAAAAACAAATAATGCCACTCTTGGAAGTGTAATTTCACTAAAAATCACAAGAAAAGCTGAAATGCTAGAAATAGACATATTTGTATAAACTACATAAAACCAGTTAAGGATTGTTAGAAGCTGAAGCATTGAAGTAAACCTCTTTGCTTTTCTTCCTACGTCTTCTTTGTTTCAACCGTATTTGAAGCTTACGGTCAGCATTCAGGTCCTCCTCCTCTTTAACCTGTCAAAAAATACATATGCATTACAAAAGCTCAAAGCATAGATATGAATCACAAAGGTTGATGAGGAGGAGGACAAACTAAAAAAAAAAAAAAAAATGGATGGATGGATCCCTTCTCCAGTAAATCATGCACATTAATTTCCGATATGTAAAGGAGTCAATTTTATCTCATGATGGAAGAAATTTCATACCACAAAAGCACGGTCATGTTGTTTTGCTTAACAAAAACTTCATCATGTTGAAATCTCACTTTTATGAATTTTGCTTTTTAAAGCACTTTTCTCTCAGGAAGAGTTTGCACTGGAAACGCAACTGCAGATTCATCACCAAACCACACGCTTAGCCACACTCTTTTACCATAAGACCTATGTGAAAAGCTAACAAACAGTTCACGTTTTACTTGATTAAAGCTAACTTCTCAATATGAAAATGAAAATACCAAACAAATTACAGTTTGCTACATATAAGAATGATTTTTGTTCAGAAATGTATCATTTGAAGCTCTGGTTGTAACAAAACTATGGCTAAAATGCTATTTACTCACCTTTCTAAAGTTTTTCATTTGTTCTTCGGTAAGATTCAGATCACCTTCATTTGCTATGGCATCTGCAACAAATGGGTCACTCGAAGTACAATCAATGTCATCAATCTCCTCCACCTGACAATGCAGAACATGGAAGACATTAAAGCTATTGAAGAGCAGAAAATTAAAAATCACCATATAGAAACAGTTGTTCGAACTATGTCATCTTGAACAGTGTTGAAAAACAAAATGCGTGTAATCCTACATTTAGGACGCAAAGTCAACAGCAGTTGACCAATACAACTAATAAAATCATGAGAAATTATTGTACTAAAATATAACAGTTTATTGTGTTCCTATCATACCTCCACACGTACATGAGAAGACAAACGTGTACTTAGAGCATTCAACATAGAACAAAACTTGAAATGAGATCATTGTTTCTTATTAATCAAAAGTTGCACTAAGAAAATTCAGCACCATTATTATTTTAACAAGCTCAACTTATGGAGAACAAGACACTGTGATCAAGAAATTTATAGTATGGATCACATTTTAAGCAAACTCCAAACAATTCACCTCATCAACTCCTGGAAATTTCAGACCCAACTCAGCAGCCTGCTGTGGAGTGCTTGCCAGGTAGACAGAAGCCCATTCCTTACTGCCGAATCCAGCAGATGACTTACCAGAGCACATTTTGCTGAAAGAGTCCCAATCTACATTCACACCATCATTTCCAGCTCCGCTGCTTTCACTTACCACAACTTTTTTTTCTAGGAAACCACTGGCACCCTCCTCTAAAATCTTTCCATGCCGTCTGCTCTACAATGAAGGCTCCAAAGTCAGAACTAAATATTTACTTTTATTCAAATCCCATTAGCTCATTCGAGAAGGTTGAGAATGAACCTTCTAACAGGCCTGTGGACCTGGAGATACTCTTCCGCCTGTGCAACTGATGCACTGGCATCATTAGGCATTTGATTTCCAACCCAATGAGTCCTATTTTTCCATGCTTCAGTGCAGCAACCATTAGGAGCCTGCTTCTCTATCCACTTATAGAGACTCGAAAGGTCGACACCAGCACCATCAAGTTGCTCCTGCGCAGGAAAATAATAATAATGATAATAATGCTAATACTAATACTAATAATAATAATAATAAAATACATAAAAATAAATAAATAAATAAAAACATGACTAGTAAGAGAATTACTCAGAAAGCACTAACAAGTCCTTTCTATTGATCCAAACAGAGTTTTGAATTAGATTGCAAGTACAATGTAAATATTAATGACCAACAAACCCAAGTTTAAACAAATTAAGATATAACCATAATGTTAGTTACAATGACACTCTCTCAAGCACTACATAACAATAAACAATTGAACATCCTAGTGCCTCATTCTTCTGCAATCATTAAATTGGTTTGTGGGTACCACTTGCTTTAAGCAGGGGAAAAATTGAAACAAGACAATTTTACAATGACTTAAGACCGGAACAAATCAACACTCCATACCAGCAAATGAGCACTCTCAGTCTCAAGCTCGTCAAGCACCACTTCCCACTCTTCTTTAAGTGTCTCCATCTCTTCTGCAACAGCATTGTCCAACTATCCAACCACCACCAAGATTCAAGTCTATATATATTAAAGAAATATAAAACAGATGGAATGTAAAAGAATAGCTAACCTCATCACCAGAACTAGATTGAGCCAACTCCTTCCTAACATCAGCCTCTACTTTGAGTAGAGATTCCTCTTCCAGAGCTTCTTGAGCTTCCGCAGCCTGAAAAAGTTGCAAGTGCGAATTGTGATCAAGGCAAAGAGCAACCGATGTTTTCTCTAAAGTAAGAAAGGCAAACGCTTGTTACTTTGCTCTCAACTTCTAGAAGCTCAGAAATGAGCTCTTCTATCTCCTCTTCCGTCAGAGGTTCCTGAGTACATGTAAGAAAAAATCAAGGACAAACCATGAAAAAGGAAATGAAACTGCAAACAGATAAAAAAACGATGAAGAATGTAGGCTGTCCAGAACAAATGAAGGGGAACATTTTTCTAACTTAATCATATTAAAAATAACTAAATAAAATAATTTGAGCCAGGAGACGAGTTATATGGTAATTATCAGTAAAAGAACTCAATATGACCGAACATAGAAAGTACCAATTTTGAAGAAGTTTGATTAACAAGGACTTTCTAATACTGTAGTTAGATAGAAAATCAGTGTCCAGGAATGTATACTGAGCCCACCATGAACTTATATTGTTAATCGGAATAGAGCAGAGAGAACTGGGGTTTTGGATATTCAATTCTCACCTCCTTTTCTTATACTCTTCTTCAATTTGTTTTGGCCTCCAATACAGTTATTTTATTTCCTAGTCATCAATGTATGGGAATTTCTTCTCTAGTTCTTATCCAATTCATTGTCAACCCCTATTTTCTGAAATTGGTTTATCATCTACTGACAAGTAGTAGCTGCTCTACGCTTACTTTCATCAAATAATCCACCTTTTCCATTATACGAATCATACCCTGCAGTATTTTTCCTAAAGTTAAATCATCATGCTGTCGACCCTTTAAGTTAGAGGGCAACTGAAATCGCAAAGAAAAGAGTATATAATGAAGGTAAACCAATCAGTGGACAAATGCAAATTTACCTGCGGAAAAACGTACCCTTAAACCACCAGAACTAAAAAAACACCAGAAGAAACAATAACACAAGATACTACAAGCTCCATTATCATAAAAAAAAAAATCAAAATGACGACATGAATTCACCACTGAGAGAGGAAACAAAAATACTATTCACATGATCTGGATTACACAACAACATTTCTTCAATTCCAAGCTTTGTTTTTATAGATGCTAAAAGCACATCAGCTCATACAAAACTATTCACTTCAGTTTAAACAAACAAATGAAGCAATTGAAACAAAAACTTCCCAACATAAGGAAATTGATGAAATACATCAAGAGGGTAGCAAGGTTACATTGCAAAAAGGCAATCAACAAACCATATCCATGTGTATGTTCTTTCCATAAACAAAATAAACAGAACTTGATCAAATGGGTAGCGAGGGTACAACCTTTCAGGCAATACGTACACGGTACATCACAACGAAAAAATTTTCAATCAAGAGAATAACCAGAAAATTATGGAAGAATAAATTCGCAAAACCCTAATCGAAACACGCACAAAACAAACCTCATTCTGTGCTTCCGCTTCATCTTCGTCTTCTTCTTCGTTATTCTCCACAGAATCGTCTGAAGAATCATTCCCCGCAAGCTCAATATCTTCCTCTTTTTCGCCAATCGTTTTCTCTTCAACCATGGCTTCCAAATGAAACTCACAGTTAAGCTATGCTATACACATATAGTTAACAGTTGTACATTCAGACTGGATTCAGGATTTTAGCGATAGGGAAGACAAGATTTGGGCCGTAATGAAAACGAATACGACGCCGTGCCGCGAAATAGTACGTGGCGGTAAAAATAATTGAACAATTTTATTTTCCACTAGTACATGTATAAATAATCTTGTTACTAGTACAAAAATTTTGATCAACTGCCCACTGCCTATCACTTTGTTTTATATGAAAAACGTATTCTCATTAATTTAATTGAAAAACGTATTTTCAGAATACGTTTTTCATATAAAACAAAGTGGTGGGCACTGCCCACCGTGGGCAGGTGAGCGGAAATAACTAGTACAATACTATCCATACACCGGTTTTTGTTAAGAAATTTAAGTTTTATAATTAGAAATAATTACAAAAAAATATTTTAATTTTTTTTTTTTTTAATAATTATATTATTAGTTATATTTAAAATAAAATCATCGGTTATACGATTTTCGATTTTTCATCTTATATTATAATAATCTTCTTAAATTATTTAAGCGTGCTCTCTAGCGGGCCTAGAAAATACTGGCCTAACTCGCCCTTTAGCGGTGCGGGGCAAGTTGGCCTGCGGACCTAAGCTCGTTTTACATATTGACAAGTGCCTTTAGAGCATCCACAATGCTTTGGGTCTCTTTTTGCATATGTGGCAAATAAATAGACTTAAGTCCATAATGACATGGACAAACCCAAACTAAAAAATCCAAAATCTATCCAATGCAAAACAAAAAAGTACTGGGTCTAGAGTACATGACAACCAATAAAAATGCTCTAATATATTTCATTTATTAAAAGAAAAACTAAATGAGGAATAAATGATGAGTGCTTGGGTTTGTACTTGGGTCTAAAATAGACCCAAGTGTGGACTAGGTCTCATTTTTTTATTGCCACATAAGCTAGACTAGGTCTACATTTAATTGCATTGGAGAACACTTTTTTATAGACTAGGTCTATTTCTTACATGGCATGTAACTTTTTTCTAAGAGACCCAAAGCATTGTGGGTGCTCTTAGCTGTCCTCTAAGTTATGTTGACATTTTTGTTTTTTTTTTTTTTTTTTTTTTCTGTTTATAAATTTTGGCCCTTGAGGCTCATAATCAACAAAACCAACTGTTTAGGCAAATTATACATAAGATTATTATTTTTCTTCGTTGATCTCCTACATGATCAAAACTTTAATTTCAATTCTGTATGTATATGTTGGCCACTAACTTCATTAATTTTCTCATATTTACACCGCTTTAGTAGTTCACATAACCTTGCGACTAAACCGCCCCATCAACTGTGGTTGACACCCGAACGTCAACAAATTTACATCATTTTATTAATATTTATGTGAACAAATAATATTGTATTATAACTTTTGATGATGTACGTTAAATCCAACGTGCTCAGAACCGGACCGTCATCGAACCGATCAAGTTATTTATTCAATAATTTATTGGTTAGACTATAATATAAATATTTATATACATATATGTATATATACTACTTTTGGAATAAATTTATATAAATAATATTAACAAATATTTGAACAACTATCTTGTTTAAATGTTCTAACTAATTAGTAAATTATTTATTAATCTCCATTCTATTTAGATATATATTTTTATTTATATTGAATCGAACAACAAACATTTTATTCAATCCAACAAGATCGATCGGTAAACCAGTTCCTTTCCTAGTCTATCCAATTGTACTGATCGTAAATTGGTTCCTTCGTGGTCTATCCAATTGGACTGTCCGATCCGATTCGATTTTGAGAACAATAGGTATATATGATTTTTTTTTCTCAGAAACGACTAAAGTTTATTAAACCAAATGAAGAGTACACAATCATGATAGAATACAGAGTCTAAAAATCAAAAACTTCTAACCAGAAGTAAAAGTAGACCTTGAATTTACAAACAGCTACCAAGGTGAAAGAAAATGAACCCAAATGATAAAAATACCCAGAAAAAAAATATATGTCAAAACCTAACAGCCCAGGCAAAATCAGAAAGCACCAAAAACTTCAGGAAACATGTCCTACTAGAAGCTTACAACAAATCCTAGGCAATGCTACCATAAACCCAAGCAAAATACAAAGAAAAGAAAATAAAACAAAAACTAAGAGTAAGAAGAAAACTTAATCCAATCTCAAACAGCTCTATCAACTAATTCTTTGGCTGAGAGCCACTTCCTTTTAAAGATCCATAAGTTACGACCTTTCCAAATCTACCACAACATGTACACAGTTAATTGTTGTTTTTGAGCAAAAATTTTGGAGGTTTTGCCTTCACAAATCCTGCTCCACCAACCTTTGAAACCAAACTCAGCAACATTACAGCAGTCCCATGAAACCAGTGTCAATTTTCAAACCAAAAAAGCCCCCTCACATGAAAAGAAGATATGTTCCACTGATTTAGAATCTTTACCACAAAGTCCACAGCACTGATGAGGTTGTGATTTCCTTAGCCATAAATTATGTGATGAAGGAATGGCATTGTGCAGAACTCTCCATAAGAAATGTTTCAGTTTGTGTTTAATTTTTAAGGTCTAGGTCACCTTCCATATTATTTGTAATTGTTTTTTACTTGAGCTACTCTCAGGAGTGTCAGAGTGACTTTGAAGTAGTTTAAGAGAGTTAGCGTAAGCAGATTTCACTGTAAAGTCACCATTAGAATTAATAATCCAAATCAACTTATCTGGTCGCTGTAAGTTCTGAAGAGGTATACTGAGTATGGTCTTGACATTCTGCTCCACAAATATGTTTCTGATCAGGCTAGCATTCTATCTTTGGTCGCTCTCATCAAATAGCTGGTAAACCCATTCCAGGTTGTGATGGTCAGAATATGCTCCTCTTAGTCTGAAATTTGAGGAAGAGAGAAGTCAGGGTTCATTCCATATTCTTGTGGTTCTTCCATCCCCAATCTTCTTCCTCATACCTGCACTAAAGGTTTTATCAGCTGCCACCCAACTTTGCAATAACCAGGAGCTGTTGTACTTCGCTTCCAGTTTTTCCCAAAGACCTTTCTTCATGTATCTAGCTTTGATTAATCTGTTGCATAAGTTGTGGGGATTAGTGTATAGCCTCCATAGTTGCTTGGAGATGAGGGCCATGTTGAAAGCTTGAAGATTCTTGAAACCCATGCCACCTTCATCTTTAGGGAGACATAAAATCCCACCTTTCCCAATGAATTTTGTTCCTCTCTTCAGCATTGCACCCCCACCATAAATTAGAAGATGTGCTGTCAATTGCTTAAGAACTCTTTTAGAGATCAGAAAACAAGAAATAATATAGACCGAGAGGGCATTAATGTCTGAGTGAATCAAAATTTCCTTTCCAGTTGGGCTAAGAAAGGTATTCTTGCAGTTCAAAATCCTACTATCAACAGTCTTACAAACATACTCAAGAACATCTTTCTTGGATCTACCTATTATCATAGGAAGACCAAGATATCTAGAGCTTTGCATAATACTAATCCCACCCAAAATCCTACAAATAGTTTATTTAATATTATTAGAAACATTACAACTGAAAAAACAAGAAGATTTATCAAAATGAACTAACATGATTAATGTTATTCAAATATTCAATTTATAATACAATCGTAATATTGTTTCTCTGTGCATTGAAGTCATATAAATGAAAAAAACAAATAGCAAATAAAATACCTAAATTTCCGAGAATGTAGCTGCAATACTATTAACATAAACATGGGTTTTGTAAAGGAAAATGATATAAGTACATAAGAAATGTACACAGAAATGTACATAACACTCACATGAAGTGGGATCCACTTAATTTTTTTATTTTTGGTGGGTCCCACTTAATGTGAGTATTATGTAATATTATGTACTTGTAACATTGTTCGTTTGTAAATGCAGAAATTGGGTACTTCCAAAATGCCACCTCCACGGAAAACCTGAACAGAAGAAGCATGATGTTGAAGCAGGCATACATAGTCATATTTATTGCAAAGGCGATCATCTCTACAGCATTGTCTAAAACAAGTTCGCTGTTACAAACAGAAGACAAAAACCTTACAAAATACTTCCATGGCCATGACAAAAGAATTACATTTCTTCTTTTTTTTTTACATTTCAGAGTTGATCCCTGTAGTAAAAAACATCCAGAATGAACACAAAATGACTTCTGAATAGAAGAACCCCCTACATAAAAATCAAACGGGAATGGAAGACGATTGAATTTGACCTGTGACCCGTGACAAAAAGGGCCATTAAGGTTGTTTTGTATATATGTATCCATCCTATTATATAAACAATCTCTTCAAATCAAAACCTGATGCACCATCAAAAAATACTATGACCCGAGAATAAAAGCACGAATCTCAGCCCAGCAAGAGACTGTATATAAGACTCCCGAGCGACCCTTCCAACTAGAAACACTACCCTCATCAGTGAATTGTTTCTGTTTCTCAATCAAACCTGGGAACAGAGGAACAAAAGAAACGCCAAAATGACTTCCCACTCTTCTGAGACTCGAGCTCGAGCCTATCACGATACCAATGTCGGCCTCAAGCAAGCATAGTAAGTCACCGACTGAATCGCCAATATATAAGCTCAGAATCTTCCAATCCTTGCCCGTCTTGTTTAAGATGTCAGCAAAAGCTTCAACTTTGTCGATTGGAGACTCGACCTTCTTCACAATTTCGCCCGTGGATAGAGAGTTTTCATAGACGAACTCATTCGCATGAACGTTCACAGTGTCTAAACCACCTGATTCCAAGATAAAGTGAATTAGTATATGAAATTCCAAATATCACATGCATTGAACAGGAGACAAAAGTTTTTGATATTGTCCAGGCCTATTGAGAATTTGATTTTCTAATTATAGATACAGAAAGAAGTTACATAATACAAGGTAGTAGCAGTAGCTCCTTTCATGTTACCATATCTATTTGATTTCAGCTAAAATAAAGGAATATTGATAGTAACTATCTTGAATTGTTCAATAGAAAAACAATGATCATTTGCACAGATATACATCCAAACAAGTCGAGTAGAAAGCAAAAGGCCACCAAACCCACGTAAAAAGGAATGCACCTGAGGAAAAGGCAGATCTGATGAGATCACCACACCAACAATAGGATAGGACATGGATGTTTGTGTTCAAGTTTTCATTCCCAACAGCACTCGAGAAGAAATCTTTACAGCCATCTTGGAGAATGAGGCGCTCTCCAGCTCGCTTTATATCATCAAGATTCAGACCCTTCAGTACTCCAGAATCAATCACCCTCAAATTTGCCTTCTTCTCAAAATCCGAAAGTTGCTGAAGTGCTCCACGGAGCCCTTCATAATCAAAATTTACTCCTGAAATTACATGTTCTGTCCGATATTAGCCACCTTATTTCAGAAGAAAAAAAAAGGCATGCAGATAGAGAAAGAGAATAAACTTTTGTAAATGAAAAAATGAAATAGTAAAGCCACAATGACCCGCGTAAGAATTCCCATCAGACATAAATTTGTTTGCACAAGCCAAAAGATATTTCTAGTTCTCTAGTGTTCTATCAATCTTGTTATTTATAAACAAATATTCCAAATTCTATGACCTTAAATGAGCCATTGATATTCTAAGATCTTCCCAATCAAATATTTTCCCTAAGATCTTCTCAATCAATTATTCCCCTAATTACTTTGATACTGATTATATTTCTCATTAACTCCGTCAAATCATCTCTCTCAAAAACAGTCTTGCCCTCAATGCTGAAGTCAGAATATCCTCTACACAAGAACCACCCAATTCCATTTCCATAGTTAACATGTGTTCAGTTTGATGGCTACTAGTAACATAAAGGGGTTAAAGTTTTCCCCATTGGATTTATCAAATCATGCATAAAAAGTTCCTGGTTCAGGATAAGGGAGTTTGGGAAGTTTTGATGCAGCCAGTGAACCCAATTCTTAGTTCCCTCCATGCACAGTGGGTCAATTCACAGGAACTAGCAGCTGAAGATCAGTATGAGTGAGTGAGAAAGCGAGTGTACGTGTGTGGGTGAGAGAGAGAGAGAGATGGAAATGCACTCACCTTCTCTGGGAAGCAAGACACTTTCTATGCACTGCTCATACTCTTCAGTATACTGCTTAGAAAGTTCTGCCCATGTGCTTCTTAGATCAATGGACGACTTTTGAACAAGTTGATTTGCTGATTGACTTTGATCAGATTTTGGGGCTGTTAGAATTGCTATTTCGGCCAGGATAGCAGATGAATCCACAACAGTGCATGTCAAATCAAAATCAGAAAACAACATGAGACAATGTTCCCCTGGATTGTGCTCTTTGCATAGAGGAACAACGGTTTTCTGAGCAAGTGGCTGGGCAAGGAAAAGATTAATTTCCAGTTTCATAGCTTGATTATAGAGCTTTTCAATAACATCAAGTTCCTCTCCAGTTAAAGAAACACTCAACTTGTCCAGCAGATCCTCCGTTCGCAAAGCTGATGCCTGAATCAACATAATAAACTATAAGATATGTATATAATTTTAGCTTTGATTGGGGTT